CTGAGCTAGAAGATTCTTACTAGAAAGTTTTATCCTAAATGGTATACCAAAAATGGTGGAGTAAGGAGCGTGAGTTCTCTTACTTCTATACAGTACTCTTAAAATACTGCTTTGAAAATTAAAAGCAAATAAAAATTTTATTCTTAAAATATTGTGATTATAATGCTACGAAAGGGAGACAAAATGAGGATATGTCAAAAAGCATTGCTTCAAAACCACAGGAATCTTTATTAAGCAAAAACATCATTAAAAAAACAAAACAACTGTTTCTCAAGATATCCTCTTTCTACAATTACATACTTCTGAAGACAGTATTTCCATCTCTCACCCTTCCTCAAAGAATGTTGCACTATTCAATCTACGTCAAAAAGCAGTTTTGACATCTTAAGGGGGCTCCATGTGTGTTTCCTTCTAACATTCTTTGAATTTGGAGTACAAAAGCGGCCTGCAGGGGAAGGAGGTCAGGGCTGCAGGATAAGGTTCCAGTGAGATTCACATAGGGCACGTTGCCGCCTGGCTGCTCTCAGAGTAAGCGAGCGCGGTGTCATGTTGTCACCGTGTAAGAAATTCCTGGCAGCAACTTTCCTGGCCTTTCCCTCAGTGCGGCAGCTTAAAGTTTCTTAAAACTTTTTCAGAATAAGCCCTCATGATCATACTTTGAGAAATATCTACCAAGGTTACACCTTCCGAATCCTAAAAATCAGTGACCATAACCTGAGTTGACATGTTAACCTTGAATTCATCTTTGAGGTCTTCCTTGACCTTCCTTCTAAAAATTTTTTGTTTTATGTGTGACAGCATTCCTGTATAGTTATTGAAAAAGCTTCAATGATTTGAGAAAGGGTCAACTTTAGTTTTGTTTAAAATTTGCTATTATCCCTGACCTCAAAATGGGTTTTTGCATAGTACAAAATAGCATCTTCTCCTTTTTTAGAAGGTACTCTAACAAATTTAAAGATACACTCTAACAAGTGTATCATTGAGAGAACTTGTCTGCAGTCATCCACTAATTGCAGAAAAATGTTTAATTAAGGACATTCTGTCTGGAATAAATCCATGCATGTATGAAATGGAACCCTAATGACGAAACCTTTGACTTAGCTTCATATATATACACCATCTCTAGTAACTGGCTTTTTAAACAAGAAACAGTTCTTAAAAGACCTGCTAATTTTTTTTTTAAGTGGAAATTAACAGTTAAAAAGGGGGAGGTGGGTATAGGGCCTTCATTCCAATCTACACTGTTTTAGAAAATCCTTTCTTCAGATTTCTAGAACGTTCTCTGAAAGCTTTTTACTTGCATTTGCAAACAAGCGATTACTCCTAGATTATCACTTAAACATTAACCCAAAAAAGCACTCAAAAAGGAACTACCACCACCACCATCAAAACCAATTATTCATTAACAACAACAAAAAAATGGCTCATAAAAATAAAGCCCATCACCCGTGTGTCCTAAATTCTTTTTTAAAAATCATTTATATGAGGATAGTCAACGTGTCCCCTCCGGCAAAGGTCAGGGAAGCGGACTGAATGAAAAGGAACAGCCGCACTGGGGACGGGAGCCTGTGACACTGAAGACGTAACCAATGCCCTAACCAATGCCCGACAAGATGCACAGAAGTCCTTCAACGGGAACCTACTTGGCTTTATAAATTTCCACCAAAAGCCCAATGAAAATGTCTTGCTAAAAATGTAATTCATTAAGTCAACAAATGTAAACCTAAGTAGATGGGCTTGCTTTTTAAAACAAACCGAATCCATGCTTTCTTACACTGAAATGAGCACAGAAGCACACACTCCGCCCACCCTTCCTGGGGCTCTTCCCCGCAGGCAGGCTCAGCAGGGGAGAGGGCCGGGCTCCTAAGCACACTAAAAGTGCAGGACGCACCTTCTGCCACAAGCACTGCCGCGAACCCTCCCAGAACACGTCTGAACATTCTGTGATCCAAGTGTGAGCCTAAGTTTTCTCTTTTTGAGGAACACCAAACTGAACATAGAACAAGCAAAGGCACGTTTTATGTCATCAAAACAATTTAGTTTTACATGAGAAAATACACCTCCAAAGTGGAAAGCACAGGTGACGATAAAAACTGCTTGAAGCAAAAGATGAAGGAATGACCTGCCTCTAAATGAGAAGGAGCGAAACGAGACAGTCAGCACCTGGGATGGAGAGGAAGCCCCGGCAGGAGAGACACACGCTGACCCCGCTGAGCTAACGCCTGAGCACAAAGCAACCCTATGTTCAAGTGCTGACAATGTGCAAAACTTAAAGACAGATGCAGAATAACCCAAAAGTGGTATCAAAAAGTAAGGATCTGTGTGAAAGTGATGATGGCAATAAAGACATAAAAAAGCTAAAAAAACTTTTTAATTAAGGAGCACAGCAAAGAAATTAGAATACGTGGGGAAAAAATAGTAGTAGTAAATTATCCTGGGCCCTTATTCTTCTCTTTTTTCACTTTTTCTTATATCAATAACATATACACTAAATCTAAGTCCCCAACATCTTGTCCCTATAAAAATCTAATAAAAAATGCATTCCTTAATCATTAATAATAAATGTGAAAAATGACATTAATTTCCAACTGTGGCTGCAGCTATAGATAAAAAGAATTAAAATATATTTTTAAATTTTCAAATAACTTATTAGATACTATCTCTATACTGACAAAGAAGACACATTAAATACGATAATGAACTCTATACATATTGTTACCATACAGTGTCAAATACTATGGGAAAAAATTTGCAAGTTTCTTGACCCTTTGAGAAGACAGCTGCAGCTCATATTCTTGGGTCATCCTCCCTATAGAACTAATTATATGCTATGTATAATCATGAGAATCCTACGATTTAAATATATTGTTACATTTCAAATTATTATATAATCCCAAACTTACTAGGCAAAAAATAAAAAGAAGTTGAAGGCCTGTGTGCTGAGGTGTGATTTAACAGGAAAGTATTGCCAAATTAGGTTCAATAATAGAATTTTGAAATCCTGTTAGTCTAATAATTTTTAATTTAATGTCAAAAGTTGTAACGCAAGGGATATGATATTAAAGTTAAAAGTTTCTCCATCTTTCTTGGCTCCAAATTTTCCAAACTACAACTCAGTGAAGTTACCAATAGTCATAGTTTACTAGTTGTGAGAAAGCACATCATGATTCAGGAAGCCTAACTTGTCTTCTCCACACTCATATTGCCTCAATAACAAAAAGTACCTCTCCTTCACATGCGCCAAACCTCCCAAGGCAATAGATAAACATCTCATAACACTGAAAGAATGGCTGGTTAAGTGTTAAAATTAAAGAACTCTAGAAATAAATAAAAAAACTAGTAACAGGATGTTAAGCCATGTCACGTACAAAGAAACATGTGGTCTACAAACCCATTCATTCTTAAGAAAATCCACTAGCTAATCCAACAATAAAATGACACATAGGTACCCAGTTAATAAAATGGATGCAATCTTGGACAAAATGTGGTAAAAATTAAAACAGTATTTCCAGCCCAGCATTGCAGCAACTCAGCAAAGGCTCAAAGATGATCACAAGTCAAATCACCACACAGCGAGCAGGGGATCTTATATACAGAATGACAATGTGGAACATCTGTCTTTATCACTAGGAGTGGGAAGGCTGATGACCTGTGTGACCCCACAGATTCCTCATTTTACCTATAAAATTCAAGGGAAAAGAACTAATAAATTCCTTCAGGGTAACACTAATCAATGTTTTCAAAAATTAGCTGAATTTTAGAATAAAAATGCTCTACCAAAATGTATGTTCAAAATTTATAAGAAAATAGTGGTCAATGGCAAAAGCATATGCAGGATGAAAAAACAATACTAAAGAAAATATTAAATAAGAGACACTAACAAACATGACAAGAAGGACTTTATGTATCATAAACATATGATATCAAAGTAAAAACTCTAGATTCCATAAAACAAAAGCTAATAGTGAAAAACAGTGATATACTACTTTTCTACCCTATTATGCCTGTGGGGAGCCCTGATGGATGGCACATTGGTTATGCATTGGGCTGCTAACTACAAGGTCAGCAGTTCACACCCACCAGCTCCTCTAGAGGAGAAAGACAAAAGAGTCTCTACTTCCTAAAGAGTTACAGTCTCCAAAAACCAGAGGCTATCTATCTTGTCCTATAGGGTCAGTATGAGTCAGAATCAAATCGATAGCAGTATGTTTGGATACCTGCATTGAGACTGAATAGAAAACTAACAACAAATCAAACATTAAATGCATACAAGGAGAACATTGAGATATCATTAGCAAATAGGTGGCAGATTCAAGTTTTAACCCCCCCAAAAAAGAAAAATCAAGTAATCTATACCCAATTTTGACCACTCTAGATTAGATTCAATTCTATATTCATAAAAGGATGAGCTGATATCAGAACCAAGGATAGATTCAATCCCTAACAGACTAGACCAAACACAAGTACATGAAGAACAACATTCTGTGATGTGGATTTTACATGATACTCACTGCCATCAAGTCGATTCCAATTCATAACAACCCGATAGGACAGGTAGAATTTCGCCCTTTGGGTTTCTGAGACTTTAAATGTAAACATGAGTACACAGTCTCATCACTTGAATGACTGACCAACCTAGAGCAGCGTAGTACGTACCCTACTACGCCACCAGGGCTCCTTACAAATGTACTCTTCACTTTAAAAATACATAATAATAAAATAGTAGTAATAATAATGTCGCCATTAAAGATGGTTAACTTTTCACTCATACCTAGGATAGGACAGACAGAGTGTACATGAAAAGCCAAAGTCTGAATTCCAAGAAGATGCATAATTTCCTTCTTCCAGGAGGTGGCAGAATAGCACCAAAAATAGAATAAAATAGGGAGGGGGATTACACATAAACATACACAAATTATGAGCAAGCGTCACAATGTTTACATAAAAATTCAATTTTAAGTCCATTTTTCCACGAACCCTGAAGCCTCATCCACTTGAAGCTCAAAATTTTCTTTCCGACAACACATGAAAAAAACAAAACAAACACACCTTCCAAGAAGGCTCTTATACTTAATCCAGATATTAAGGAACCTTTTCTACTAGTATAAAAATGTTTACAAACCATTGGTTTAGAAGTCTGACAAAAGTCTTCATGTAAGAAAACAACCCTAACAGCAGAAATCATTCATTTTACTTCACACTTCCCAGACCCTAATCTTGGAGGGAAACCAGGCTAAGTGCGCTGGAGTCAACGACGTCTCACAGCAAGCCCACCTTGCGTGCTGGTGCTGCCGACTGCAGCCCAAGGCATAGCTACCACACCACCAGGCAACCCCAAGTTCTGAGGAAGCAGCATATATAAAAACATTTTGATCATTCTTTGGATAAGTACGCTATACTTAAAAAATTCAAGTCTTCATCAATCCCAAAACACAATTTGAAACAAAAATCTCTTATTTTTTAAAAAAAAAATGTTCAAGAATTACACTTTTTGCCAAAATGAATTATTTTAAAATATAATACTGCAATAATATTTTGTTTCCTTCCTAAAATTATAATTAAGGTGGGTATAAAACTAGTAACACTGCCTTAGGATATTTTCCCCAAGATTCCAGTCATGCATGTGTTTATTATATAAAACACAATTCAAACAATAAAGAATGTTGTAAGAAATAATTTCAATGATTTTTCCTTCAAGGGATTCCAAGAATCCATGATAAATCAACCCAGTAGATGAATATAAACATGAAAATAGACACAAAAACACAATTTAAATGAAAGGGTTTTTTGTTTTGTTTTGTTTTAATTCCTGTTAAGAAACAGGGGGGAAAGATGAGGCTTTCTAATTCTGTAAAGATCTCGTCTCTGAAACCCGCAGGGCCAGTTCTATCAGCCCCGACAGAGCTCTCGTGAGTCAGAGTGGACTCTAAAGCATTGAGGTTGTTGTTGTTTATCTTTTAAATGTATGGACAATGGTGACTTCATTTTACCGAAACATTTAAAATCTAACAAAATTAAACTGACACGCTAAATATCTCTTAGAGTAAAACACTAATGAAGTCAAAATTTTATTTCTGAGAAAAATACAGAAATCTCACCAATTAAGACTTGTTGATTAGAGAAAGGAGAAAGGTGTTCCTAACTTTAAAAAAGATACAATATGAACCAAACTTACGTCCTGTTCATGATGGTTCTGATTAATGAATGTATGCTTTGTCAAATTCATCTCTCTTACGTCTATCTTCCTAATAACGTCACATACTTTTCTGACCTTGAACACCTGGCTTCTTGGAGTCTTATTCCCATTGTAGCCCATATCGACTCCATTACTGGGGGAAGACGGGCCGATTCGAAAGACGTGACAAAAAATCCTCACAATCCTTAAAAGGCTCTTCATTTGAGCATCATAACTGCTAGAAAGGCTGGAAATAAAACATATAAACATATTAAAGAAATTGGAAGCTAAATACTTATTTGAAATATCTGCATCCCACTGACCACCTGTCTCACAATATAACTCCTATCAAGATAGGACACAGAATAGTTTAAAAGGGAATTACCACATTACTTGGATTTCATAGGAACGAATTACTAAGTTTTAAGCAACCAGAATAAAACCAATGATCAAAATATAAAATAGGACACACACACACCCAAAGTACCGTATCAAGCAGCTAGTTTATTGAGACACAAATTTCATGCCAATTCCTAGTTTTTACTTCACACTAACTATTTGTACCACCGAGGAACCCCTTCAAGAGTACACTTGTAAGTTAAATTGATTCTTTACACCTCTTAATACATTTTTCACAGAGAAATATTGGTTTAAGTGTGGATTATGTTCACAGACTATTACAAATCACACTTCTTTAATTAAAACTTGAATCTCACCATTCCATCCATAACTATTCCCTCCTTATACCACAATAGTAACCAAATGTGTGCACACAGAATATTCATAAAGCAAATAATTTTAGTTATAATCTGTATCGATGTAAATGTTTCTCTGTGAGCTTGTCATGTAACTCCACATAAATATATGAAATATACCTCACCATATGAAAGGATGACTAAAATTCCACTAACACTACATTATTCGTAATGTAAACAATGACAGATCAGGAAGTCTTTCAGAATCCCATAGTACCTTGGGATTGCTCATTGTCATGAATATCCATCTTTTTTTTTCCCTTTAAAATGTTTATTTATTCATTTTTAAATTAAATACTTTTTTCTTTTTAAAAAAAATACTTTTATGGGGGGGCTCTTACAACTCATCACAATCCATACATTCCTCCAGTGTGTCAAGCACATTTGCACATATGCCGCCATCATCATTTCAAAGCATTCTCTTCCCACTTGAGCCCCTGGTATCAGCTCCCCATTTCTCCCCCTCCATCCCCAGTCCACCCTCCTCCACAAACCCTTGAGAAGTTATAGATTTTTTTCCCTATATCTTACATCATTCTCCATTGCCCCTCACCCACTTTTCTGTTATTTGTCCCCCTGGGAGGGGGTTCTAGATTGATCCCTGTGATCAATTCTCCCTTTCTCACCCCACCCTCCCCTAATCCTCCTGGTATCTCTACTCTCCTAGTTGGCCCTGAGGGGTTTGTTTGGTTTTTTTAATCATTTTATTAGGGGCTCATACAACTTCTATCACAATCCATACATACACCACTGTTTAAAGCGCATTTGTACATTCATTGCCCTCATCATTCTCAAAACATTTCCTCCCCACTTAAACCCCTGGCATAGGTACGAATATCCATCATTATTCAAGGAGTTATGTGCCACATTTTGTTTTGAATCTAATGATTCAATTTTTCAAATGTTTTTATTACTCAGGAGGGTTTATGTTGAAATTTCTAACATGTTACCTGTACAAAAAGAATTATGAAGAATTGCATAAACTGTGGAATAGTATGAATTATTTTTGTATAAATTTCATTATCAAAAGCTATCCTATTTTCCCCCTTCACCAAATGATTATGAATCATGATTTTCCCAAAGCCACCATGTCTCAATATGAAAGTTTTTAAATTTCAAAGACGTACCTATTTACATAACCTCTGGTTTATATAAGTGTTTATAGTGTCTTAGTATAAATATCTGCGATTTCTCTGGTTATCTGCAGGTCAATCACTACATTTACTTTCAATCACACATATGTAGAAAACAAAACATGCAACAATTTCAATGTAAACACAGTGCAAAAGGGTCCTTGGTAAATACTTGCTATCGTTATCACATCCAATCTGTACTGGACATCTCAATTGACAGTAATATACCCAACTGTTATGCAAACAAAAGGCACGTTCGTCTTCTGGGGATTTGGGTCAACTCTGTAGCCACTCTTGTGTTAGTTTTCTTTGTGTGGCATGTGCATTGTACGTGTGCATGGTATATAGGTGGCCATGTTATTTGTGAAAGTCTGATATATTTCAATTAGTTATTTTCCTTACAGGAATTTTTATGAAAATAAACAGCTAAAAACATTTCAGACTACAGGTTAAGGAACATAAAGTAAACAAAATGGAGATAATATCCAAAATTATCATTAAATTTAAAATGGGGAAATTATTTGCATTTGAGATTCACTTAATACTCTATCTAGGTACAAGAAAGTCTAACACAATACTAATAAATAATAAACCAAAAACACAAATTTGTTGCTGTCAATTCAATTGTGAATCAAATGGGACAAGAAATGTCCCCACCTAGGGTTTCCTAGACCATAAATCTTTCTGGAAGCAGACAGTTACATTGTTTTCCCACACTGTAGCTGGTGGTCATGAATCTCCAAGTTTCAGTTAACAGCAAGTATTTCACCACTGCATCACTCTATGAGAGAGCAGAACTGCTCGGGGAGTGTAAGCCTGGTCTAAGCCGACAACCTCACCTTCCTCCCCGGGAGGGGGCAGCGCAACTCCAGCAGGTACCTATAAAAATTTTGTCAGCTCATTCTTACACTTAAGAAGAAATTACTATCATTTTTCAGAAAGGAAACAAATCCTTACTAGATTATATATTCAACATGAGACAAGATCCTGTTGGTTATATTCCTGATCACTGTGGTAGTTACATAATTTTATGACAATTTGAAGATAAATAAAAGTTTAGGGGTGGTATCAAACCTGTCAATCAGGTCACCGCCTCCTGGTGCCTCCTGGTGGGTATGGCATTCTCTTGAGGGCCTGGGGAACCTCCCACTCCTTCTCTGTCGGCCACCCTGAGAGCTGCCCAAGCCCTGCCGTTTCCACCAACTTTAGATCCATGACTTTGCACCCACTTTGCACCCACCGGCCGGTGATATTCCTGCATGTTCCATCATTGCATGTGACTGCGTGAATCTGAATAGGGTCTTATGGGCTAATTCACGACATATGGATTTGAGTTCATCTAGGCTGGGATGTTTTCTTGATATATAATTACTTAATGGAAAGCTCGTTCTTATCATATATGCTATCTATGGATTTGTTTCTCTAGGTAAATGGATGTGTAGCTTATGGAGGGAAACTCTATAAAGCTAGTTGCTGAGGTTACACAGTAAGTGGTATTGGCTAGGCTTAGGCCTGGGTCAAAATTATTCCAGCACCTAGGCTCTTAATTAGTTTGTCTGAATCTTAAGAAAGCACATCAAATCAAAGAATTAATGGATATAACTAACATAAAAGGACAGCATTATGAAAAGCTGAGACTCATTATAAAAAGCTGGAACTTAGAGACAGTCTAAAAATAGTCTCAAAGGTAGAAATAGGGTAATAAAAAAGTAGCAAATATTATATGAAACTACTAAAGAAA